TACCTACCAAGTGCGCGGATCGCTGATGTGGCAGCTATGACTAGTGCACACTAAAGTATCTACAACCATATTCAGAGTAACCTCTACTTTAGTTCTAACTAACTAAAGATGGTTACACTTGGATCCGAACACTCGCGTCTAGAGTATGGGATCAAAACATTTGTGTTTCACATCAAAACACTTGCGTCTCGAATCAGAAGCACTCACTTAGCTAGGATGCGAGCCCTAACGCACTCCACTCCTTATGTACTCTATCGTTTCTAGGGTTTAGATACACCGCCACTTCTAGCCGGCGGCGTACTATACACTCTAGGTTTCGGATCGAGTCCAGCCCTCGACCCAAATCCAACACGAATTCGGATTTTTGGATTCTACCTGAATCTGATTGAAGCCCTACTATAGTCATAAAATCTACATCCCAACAAATCACAAGGTACATCCAAAAATGATGTTTTTCCATGCAACAAAAGTGAATATCAAATAGGTTAAGAATCGGCTAATGCGGTATTGAATTCTTGTCAAGTCTGTCCATATCTGCAAAACCATAATTTTCTCTTTTCTACTTCTCTTTACATACAGATCAATGACCTCTGACAGCCTCTATACACAGCTCTAAAACTAAATTCCATCATCACTCACTTGCTATTCCATGAGTGATAATCCACACGCAAGAAAAGAATAAGGTCGCTGTAATACCATTGAAACATTACGGTTTAAAAAGAAGCTCACTTAAAAATGAAAACATAAATTTTGAAGATGAGAGATACCAAAAATGGTTCCACTCTTCTCTATATAGCTCTTACTAACAAGTACATGAAGATAAGATCTCAATCCCATCATCCATTTCAATCCTAATGGATGAATGACGTGGCGGAGAACTCTAACAAGCACACAGGATTGCTAACACGGCGCTCTCAATTAAAACACTAACTAACACACTCAATCCTTACCTAACAAACACACAGATCTCAGACATGGCGCTGTCAACTAACACATATACTTTATATCTGCCAAGCATGTGGATCGTTGTCATGGCAAATATGATAATTGCACGTTAAAGTAACTATAACTTCATCTTGGGTAACCTCTACTTTAATTTTAACTAACGAAAGATGATTACAAGTACATGAAATTTATTTTAAACATAACATATATATTCCTTATATTGATTGATTACAAATGCATCTAGAATAAAATTGCATGAAATACTTAGTTACTATAATGTTCTAAACAACAGTTGTCATTACAAGTAGGCCTCGGCAAGGTAACGTAAAATACCTTTTACTCAAGGCTAAAAGGTAAAAGTTAAGGGTAAAGGTAGGAAGATTATCAGTGGATGAGATAGAGTGTAGAGTAAAAGTAATGCCCATTTACTTACCCAAGTAATTACCTCTTAAGTTAGCAATATTTATATGTCAGATTTTTGTGAAAAAAAAACTTATGGTTTCTAGAATAATAATTATAAATACGTGTATAATCCTATATCACAGCAAAAGCGTTGACATGTCTTCCAGTTGTAGGATATGCTAAGATTGTTAATTTATCGACATAAATAATACAATTGTCTAATGAGGCTAAAGCTTTCTTGTATATTTTAAGTAATCTTTTGAATAAAAAATAGGTTAAGAATAGAAAATGATGAAGGATTCACATCCTTCACAGACGGTTTTTTCATGTTTTATATCCAAAGATTTTAAAAAATAGGAAAAAAAATTATACATCTTATATATATTATTTAGATAATAAATTAACCTTTTCACTTATTATTGGCAAACTGATAATCTCTGTATTCATTAGAAATTAAGAAAATCAAATATTGATGTTGAGAAGTTGTCATTAGAAACTCTCATCATATGCAAACATTTGGTTATTTAAGAACATAGATTAATAAATATAGGTAAAATGTATTTTTTAATTTTATTGGGTAATCATCTGATTAACGGATAAATTAAAGAGGAAGTTTATTTTTTATTTTAATTGGAAAAATATCCGTTTAACAGGTAAAGTAAAGGTAAAGTGTATTTTTAAATTTTATTGGATAATTACCCGGTTAAAGGGTCAAGTAGAGGTAAAGGTATAAGTAAAGCGCATCCAATGTGGTAAGGGTAGGGGTAGAGTAAAGATAGAACACATTTTATTACCTGTTTAACTTTTACCTTGCCTAGGCCTAATTACAAGAGTCAAGTAAATATGGACTCTGTACGTTTGGATCAATCTTATTTATGAACTAATTTTAATTTTTAAACTAAATTAATCTAAACTTACAATATTCATATTTACTCACCTCTTCTAACAACATATGTTGTGTATACTATTATAGTGATGAAGAAGTTCATGCAATTTCATATTGAATGTGACTTTGTAATTATTCAATATAAGAAATACATGTTGTGTGTAACATTAATTTTCTACGCTGACTAATTACCAAGTCGCATGTAATATGAAAGTGCATGAAGTTTTTGATCACTATAATGCTACACAAAACATGTTATCTACAGGAGTCAAATAACTATCACCTCTTAATATTTAAATCAATAAATTATGAAATTTTTTTAGAAAATAACATCAACTCTAATGTGTAGAATTTATATTTACTTGATTCTTGTAGCAACAAGTTGTTTGTAGCATTATAGTAATGAAGTAATCTATGCAATTTCATATTAGATATGATTGTGTAATACGTCAGTGTATGGAAATAATCCTACACACAATATGTATTTCTTGTATTGATCATTTATAAAGTCATATATTATATGATATTGTACAAAATAATTTACTTCTATAATGTTCCACGAAACATGCGTTGTTACAAGATTCAAGTAAATATCAACTCTTAACATTATAATCAAAAATTATTATTATTTTAAAAAAATCTAGAAAATAAGATCAATCCAAACGTATAGAGTTTAGGTTTACTTGACTCTTGTAGCAACATGTTTTGTGTAGCATTATTGAAGTGAAGTACTTCATGTAGTCTCATATTAGATGTGACTTGGTAATACGTAAGTGTAGGAAATAAATGCTACACACAACATGTATTTCTTGTATCAATTAATTACAAAGGCACACTAAATATGAAACTGTAAGAAGTACTTCATTCCTATAGTAGAACACACAACATATGCTATTACAAGAACCATAGGTTCCCAATTTTAAAAGAATTCCTGCCAAGATTACAGATCCAGCCGTGGGTGCCTCCACATGAGCTTCGCTTTGCGCTGGATCGGGCCAGAAGGAGCTACCTTCATTTCAATTAAATACACTCCTCTCCCGCTGGTCGAGACCTTCGGACCTCCAAAATATTTTTTTTTGTACGCATTCTTTAAAACGAGGAGCGAACACGAGATTCAGTAAGTAAATATGAACTCTGAAGGTTTGGATAAATTTAATCTACTAATCTAAAAAATTTATATTAATAAATAAAATTGATCCAAATCTATAGAGGTCATATTTACTTGATTCTTGTAACAACACAATATTTTGTGTAATATGAACAAATGAAATTGATCCAAACCTACACAGGTCATATTTATTTGATTCTTGTAACAACACAATATTTTGTGTAATATGAACAAATGAAATCGATCCAAATCTACAGAGGCCATATTCACTTGATTTTTACAACAACACATGTTTTGTGTAACATAATAGTAATAAAGTATTTCACACAGTCTCAGATGTAATGTTCAGATGAGGAGAGAGGCCGCGGGTGGGTGGATGGCATAATGCCATCAGCCCGCCACGGACGAATGATATTTTAAATCATGCAACATTGCTGCTATGTTTTGTAGTGAGAAAAGATAAGCAACACACACCAACATACATTCAAATACGTGATTCATCCGATTTTGGAATGAGTCTAACAATGAGTACTTTACTCTAACGGCTTACAAGTGTTTTCTGTTGTTTTATCTAGACTTTTCTTGCAATTCTGTATTTATAACTGAGTGTACGGTTTTGAGTTTAGGGTTTTCCAAACTCTGAAATCCTTATTAAAGCGGCTAACTCTAGTTCTACTCGAGATTTGAGTTATAATGGGCGTATTCCTCACATATATTGCACTATTACATGGCAAAGACAAATGTGTGATCTTTGAGTTTCAACTGATAGTTATCTTTCTTATCATGCATGTGACGAATGTTTCAATACGTATAATGTCACAGTTTCAGAGAGTACAAATCGATGTCGTTTGGAATGTATGGTGAACGGAGGAAACAAACCCAATATTTTTCAAGATTAGCAATTCGTATAGAGATCACATTTGTATGACTCAGTCATTAAATTGTAAGCAATCATGACGTGGACTGAGTAAAATTTGTGTTAGAGTGCTGAAGACACTTCGATACTAGGCTACTGCACACTTTAGCACAAACCCAATAGGAATCATGAGGTACTTTTCGAATCACTGTGAAGACAGTTTATTCATTGCTCTACAAATAGCTCTTTACATGTAGGAGCAATTCTACCGTGTGATCATTATTGGGATGCAGATGTTGTTTGTGAACGTATGTTTTCTGATAGTTCATGTATTTGTAAACCGTGTATTGTGATCACTTCAAGGTTTTCATGGGTCTTCTTGAAAATTCTGTGATTTTGATAATCAAATTCTCACACATTACTCAGTGCCTTCGCGTTAAACGCACCCAGAAGGAAGACAAAGGAGTTAATAATAAACACGAATATGACAAAGTGGCCTCGGACTCATCCTCAGCTTCAGGACCGTGAACAGGAGGAGGAGGAAGAAGAAGAAGGCCGAAAAAAAACGCGGAAATGGCGCCAAGTCGACGGGTGGCCGTCGGATACGAGATGCGTCCAGCAGAAACCAAGCGCCAGGGGTTTCGAACCACACATGGTCGACGGTGGTTGGTCGATTCGCTGCGCACAAATCGGGAGACTAACCGGAAGGAGGAGCGGCTTAATGCGCCCGTGCAGACAGAGAGGGAAAGAGAGGGTCGGCCGATTTTTCGAGTTACGGAATTTCAAGCAAGATCCTCGGAATCCTCAAGCAGCTCGTTGGCCCGCTCGTGCTGGACCCGGGTTGGAAATCGTCGCCTCGGCATCGGACGTCGGAGTCGCCTTACGGGGATGCGACCGGGGCAAGAGCTGGGCGCCCGCTCTGGTGGTTAATAGTGTGAATGGAGCCGAGGGAGGGAGCGAGCTCGCAGGGATATCGGACGAAGACTGAATCGAGCACTTGGCTCGATGTGCTTGTAGAGTGGTGGGGCTCTGGCAGAGGGAGGCAGGGAGAGAGGGAGGGAGAGTGGGAGCAGGATGCCGAGAGGTTGACGTTTGAACTGGGCCGAGGAGGAGGGCAGGGCAGTCTGTTCTGTACAGGCTCCGGAAGGAAGGAAGGAAGGAAGGAAGGAAGAGATGAATGATGCCGGAGGTTGTGGTGGAAGTGTTGTGTGCATGTACATTTGTTGGTCGGAGGATGGATGGACGACGAGGTGATCAGGATGGTGAATATTTGGGTTCATGGGCAAGAGGAAGGTCGATGAAGGCGGTGCAGTAGTACAGCGGGTGCTTGGGATTAGACGGAGTGAGGTTTAGTTGCGGTTTTGTGTTCAAGAAAAAATGGTGACGATGGATGTAGATGGGGCGAATAATTCCTTGAGCCCTGCGAAAGAAATTGACGATCTCAGATACTCTCGGTTGATTTACACTCTGGGACGAGAGGCAGTGCAGGCCATATATCAGAGCAAGGTATTAATCCTCGGTTGCAACGGCGTGGGAGCAGAAATTGCGAAGAACCTGGTGCTGTCTGGTGTGCGAGGTTTGGGCTTGGTCGACGATGAAGCTGTGTCTATTGGTGATTTGTCCGCGCAATTTCTTCTCACGGAAGCAGACATTGGTCGGAACCGAGCGGGTGCATCTGCTGCAAAGCTTAAAGAAATGAATCCCACAGCAGAAATTACACTGATACCAGTCTTACAGTTGGAAAGCTGCTTGAGTTCTTACCAGGTGTTTGTGGCAACAACAGGTAACATGCCCTATTTGATGGAGATAAATCTACTCTGTCGGTCACTTGGAGTTCCTTTCATTCTGGCTACGTCTCGTGGACTGTTTTCTCAGGTATTCGCAGATTTTGGGGACAACTTCTACGTTGTGGATGAAACTGGAGAGCCTTCAGGGGCCATCCTTGTGGAGAGCATCACCCAGGACTTTCCCGCTACGGTCACTGTGGTAGAGGAACAGAGGCATGGTTTAGAGGATGGCGATCAGGTAGTACTAAGGGGAATTAAAGGTATGGAAGAGCTCAACCGTGATGCTTCCTTCACCGTTGCCGGGACTGGAACCAGTTCTTTCACTATACCCGAAGACACTCGAAATTTTGGCCGATACCTATCAGGCGGATATTTTCATAAAGTCAAGCAAGAAAAAGTCGTGCAGTTTCTCTCATTGGAAGGATCCCTGCACTCGCCGAAATTTGGTTTGAGCGACCCTGCAAAAGTAGCACGGAATCCCCATTTACATGTTGCCTTTCAGGCAATCAGCGAATTTGAAAGAAGGAAGAGTGGAGGAGCATCTATCGCCACAGGTGCACGCTTGGTCAAAGAGGAGGATCACGGCGAAATACTGGAGTATGCCAGAGAGATTTGGGAGCAGTTAGGGTTTCATGAACGAGTCAGGGAATCCAGTAATGGAAGCTTTGGAATGGAAGAAATTGCGGAAGTAGTTGGAGACGGTAGAGGTATAATTGACAGTGTCGACATTCATCCTTCAAGCGGAGTCGCCGGGGTTGGGTGCAGTAGCATTGATTTGGGAGGAATTGCGGAAGCTGGGAGCTCGAAGGAAAGCAAAGCCAGCAGGAAAGTTGACACCCTCGATGAAGAACTTGTGAAGCTGTTGGCTCGAGGCGCCCATGTTGAATTGAGTCCTATTGCTGCGATAACTGGGGGAATCGCTGCCCAGGAAGTCATGAAGGTCAGTGTAATTTTTCCTTTTGATTTGAGCAAATGCAGCTTTGAAGGAGACACGAAAAGTGGTAGATGACATCTGCTGGTGAGCCTTACAAAACAGATAAATAGATTAAGAAAGAAAGAAAGAAAGAAACCAAGCATTCTATGCTGACAGTTGGCAGCCAGGCACAACCCGAATTCACATTCAATACACGACTTGCCGCGCACTAAGCTCGAGTTGTCATTTTAGGAAGTAGTTGTCCAATTTTTGTTGCTCTATATACTGCCTTCGTTAGCTGGGCAGAAAGGTGGACTCTCAGCAACGTTTCCGAGAAAATATTCTCAATGGAACCCTTGACAAGGTGTAGTCAGTCGATCATCCCATTCCACAGTATATGTCCTGCAGGAGACTGGCTATTGCATTCATAGCACAGATTGATCTTTTCCTGACTTCGTCTTCTGGACTGAGACGCCTCAGTTGTAGTATTAGGCGTTTTATTGTCCGTTCTTCACGTAGCGTTTCTTGTTTTTGGTTTTTCTTCTTAATCTTCTTAGCTACAAGAAAGGTGGCGAGGAATAGATCGAGGGCCTAAATTACCAACAGCGACTTAAAGCAAAGTTCCGTAGGAAAGCCGCTCAAAGGCAAAAGGGAGTAGTTTAGGGCAAATCACTTTCGTGATTCTCTCGGTTTTAATGAATGGCGAATGGTTTCTTGGCTGGTCTCCTTGGGCGCTTCTGCTTCAATTGCTGCCTACTTTGTCCTATTACTTTCGGTTAGGTACGTGCGACGGTTCATTGCCGCACACTATACTTCACTGTAGCAGCGAACTTCCAGTTCTTGCCCGAGTTTGATTACCAAGTGTTGCCTCACCTTAGTTTGCTCCCTCGCAAGGGAGTGTAAAAGTTGAGGACAGTTACTTTTATTCTACAACTGTCACGCCCGTGCCTACATGGTACAGTTTACTCATCCATTCGTACGTCCAATCTTCTCTTCGTGCTCTTAATTCAACTTCCTAGATGCACAGGCTATTCGCTTCGAAAGTCTGGGTACTTTCATTCCCCATATCTTCGAATAGTTTGACTTTTGATTCCCTGAATGTTAATTGAAGATTCATTATGTAGGTATATTAGATCACTAGCAGAATTCACAAAAGTAGAAAACGTCGATTGTTAGGAGTATATCATCGTTGTCTCAAGATGATAAGAAGTTTCTAAAATTAAGGGTCTAGCGTCTTAGCAGCTCGTTAGAAATTACATCAATTGGTGTGGAGGTACATCAAAGTCGACAGTAGACGCCATCATAGAAGCAGCCGAAATTTATGATTCATTCATTACTCAAAGACAGGGTCCTAGGGGTCTCAGAGCTCCCACAAAGGTCGGAGGTCGAAGAAGAAGACAAAGCCCATCCACCTGTGAGGCATCCAAGTCTTTAAGTCCTAACGGCGTTGGGTTGGTTACGCAGCTAAACCCTTGTTTGGTTTGAGTTAACTCGAAGCCCAACAAGGGTTTGGCTACTATCAGCTCCCGCGCGATCAGTGCAGAAACTTATGCACTTCAGTATTCATTGATGAAGCTGACGAGTATATGTAACGGGAATTTTTCTCTTCCCGTTCGAGTATTTTTTATGTCAGTGGAGGCCTTGCTTGGTATCTGTTCATTAAATGAAAATTATTGTTTTTCGCTTTACTTCACTTTTATGGTCCATGTAAAGCTAAGCTTAACTTGCCTCCTTCAATCCCTTGTACTTTATTTTTGGATTTTTACGGATTTGTTTACTTTCGTGCCATTTCGTGTCATCAAGTAATGATTTTGTGAGAATCTCAAATCGTTGATTTGATGGCAGGCTATCTCAGGAGTCTTCACGCCACTGAGTCAGTGGCTGTATTTCGATGCGTTGGAATGCCTACCGTCAGTCGCGCCACCTCCAGAGGAGACGATAGCAAGTGGTTCTCGTTACGACCTGCAGACAGCACTATTTGGCAGAAAGTTTCAAGAGCTGCTTGGTAGTCTTCAGGTACATATTCTGCGGAAAATGTCTTTCGGGTTTCTTTCTTCGCTGAATTTTGATGCGGATGTGAGTTGAAGATGGATAAATAAAATGCAAGAAGTTTGCCTGTCCCCAAAAAAAAGATGGCCGGACTGAAGACTCCACAGACTCAATAACTTTGAGCTGAGCTTTTCTGAATCGAAGAAATCAGAAGAATCTCATGGTTTGTTTCAGTAATTTCATGGTTGTGAAAAGAACGGATTTAACAGCATCCTACTTTTTAAATCAGAAAAACCAAATTGTTTCCCATAATGTGCTTACAAAGAGTCATCGTTTCTATTTCGGTCTAGACAGGGGGTCTCGAGAAGTAAGCAGTTAGTTCTCCTCTGAAAACGGACTGTTGTAGCGTGAGGCTGATTCATGAACTTTGAATTACAAAAACTGAGTATGTGTCGGCCGTTAGTGGAAGCATTTTGTCGGTGTTTTTTTGAATGACGGAACGATCGGTTTAAAATTCTGCGCTTGGCGTTGTTGTAAAGATATAAAGCCTTAACACAGCGTCTTGTAGTCAAGCGAAACGTATCCTAATTTCTTAGTGTTTAGTAAAAAAGTCTGAAAGAATCCCACGACCATCAGAAGACGAACATGTGAAGGTATTTACTTGCAGGTATTCTATCATATGAAAGGAAATCCATGTTCTAGGAAGACATTCAAATATCTATGGTTGTCGTATATCGCAAGCTTTGAAATATGGACCACTTCTAAGTAAGATGTTTCCTGGCAGTGGTTGGTGGTAGGTGCAGGTGGTCTCGGTTCAGAGGTGTTGAAAAATTTGGTGATGATGGGTGTTGGCTGTAATCCTGATGGTAATATTACGGTTACAGACATGGACCGAGTATCGAGGCCGAATCTCGTTGATCAGCTTCTATATCAGATCGACGATCTAGATCGACCCAAGACTCCTGCAGCAGCAAGAGCCTTGAGGAACATAAACCCTGCTGCTCAGATCCATGCTTTGCAAGAAAAATTTGATACAGATACAGAGGGGATTTTTGACTCTTCGTTTTTCAAGTCTGTCGCAGGTATGAGTCAGGATTTAGGTTCTCAACTATATCTCAGCTGTTACTCAGTATCAACGTCCACCCTGTTGATCACATGGAAATTTCCAGTGAAGTTCAATGGCTTGCGCTGATATTTTGTAAACGCCTGTTTATGTCACAGAGGTTAGCAGGGTGTTCTTGTAATTGCAGCTTGCAATATTTTCTGAATCTGTGGACCTTGTAGATATCACATCAATGAGGCTTGAACGTGCCAAACTGTAGGGAGTAATTTCAAACATATGTCAAGAAATAGTTTGCTTCTTATTAACAGCCTAAAGGGATTGCAGGAGTTTTCTCTGCTGTGGATAGCGCGCAAGCCAGATTGTATATTGACAACAGATGTGTTACACATCGTAAGCCTATGATCGATGGAGGCAAGCATGGCACCAAAGGAAGTGTACAGGTCTGGCTCTGACACCTGAGGCAAGCAAGTCGCTGCACTTTTCATGTACTTTGTATTTGCTGTGTACTTCTAGTATTTCCTCTGCCGTAGAGAAAGCCATCGTTTTCTTGCATACCACAATCGCATCTTGCTTACTTGATTTACCACGCAAAACAGGTTAAGTATTGATATACGAGAGATCTTTTGAATTGTTACGACAGGTGTTCGTTCCATTTCAATCAGAAATGTATGCCTCTAGTAATGATCCACCGGAGCACAAAGACATGCCTATTTGCACTTTGAAGAACTTTCCCTATTCAGCAGAGCATACACTACAATGGGCAGTAGAGACCTTTGAGACGTTGTTCAAGAAGCGACCCCTGGATGTCAACGCATATTTGTCAAACCGTGATTTCCAAGATTCGATTCGGAAGTCTCCTCCAACATCCCGTCTCCCCATACTAGAAACTTTGCGAGATGCTCTTCTACGACATAGACCTCTCAGGTTCATATTACTCGCTCAACCTTGCCTTGTATTTATTGTAGATTCTCGCATCCATCTGTGTTGTCCGTGGCCTATGTATCGTTCTAAATTTTCATATAATAAGTTCTGAGCAAACACTGAGGTCGAAGTAAAATTTTTGCTCGTGCTGGTATGAATAAATTCAAAGTCAAAGAATTTACTCGGGACAAAGCGTTTCTTCTTTCTAATCACTTCTATGAGTGTCACGATGTTGATCTTGACAATTTATTTGTTTACCTCTTGTTACAGTTTCGAAGCTTGTGTGCAATGGGCACGGTTGCAGTTTGAAGAACTTTTCGTCAATATCATTAAGCAGGTACTTTTCTCCAAATGTCTACTGAGGGGGTCAGAGGGTACACGTTCGCATCAACTACTGAAATCTAAGTTTGTCATTCCTTAGCATGTCTTCATTTGTCTCTCTTGTAATGCATCAGAGTGATCAGGACCTTCAGATTTAAGTAGATTTGTGCATTTTTCTTTGCCTGTTGAATCCTCCTAGGCTATTCAAGCTGGAGAAACGAGTATGGTGTAAATCACTCAAAAGGTGATACTGTCATATTGATATTTTCCTTGGCAGCTTTGTTTTACATTTCCACCAGGCATGACAACCACTGCCGGAGCACCTTTCTGGAGCGGGACCAAGAGAGCTCCGGCACCCCTTACGTTTGATCCCTTAAATCCGTTGCATCTGGAATTCATTGTTGCTGCCGCCAACCTTCAAGCAACTGTCTACGGGTTGAAGGGTTGTCAGGAGCATGCCGTCTTCCTTGATATCCTTCAGAATGTGGAAGTTCCAGCCTTTGAACCCAAAGTAAGTAACTCATAATGGAAGAAAGTCTATGTGGGTTTCCTCTCTGATACCAGTTTCGTCATTAATTGCCTGAGAATATCACTGCTTTCCTCGTTGATGCTGGATTGCATATTGGATATTTGGTTCGTTTGGTATCATACACGCCTTTCCTCATACGGTCCTTTTCTTACTCAAACAACGAAAACAGGAAGGTGTAAAGATTGCAGTTTCGGATAGTGAGTATCGGAATATGGGTAGCCAAAGGGGCATGCGGCCCGGCTCAGAGGATAGTGCTGCTGTGGAAGCATGCGAAGCTTTACTTCAGGAGCTCCCCACTCCTGCCACACTTGCGGTAATTCAAGTAAACCAGTCTTTTTATCTCCTTAGGAGAGACAGTTCTTGTTAGGAGCCCGAATTGCTTATGCTCATGTTCTTGATTTTCTATAAGGAAAACAAGATCTAATAAGTGGCTGTGTTTCTACCTTATAGTATAAGTTGGATATATCAATGCTGACTCTTAATGAAGTCATTAACCGAAACTTTGGGTGCGTCCGAACCATGGGTTCCTTTTTCCATTGATGCGCCAAAGTCGTGAAGTGTGTGTGTGAACCAACTGTGAAACACTGACAGTGAAGCATTGGTGCTTCACAGTTGGTGAAACAGTTTATTAATTCATACTTCAAATGCCTAAACTGGTATGAAGTGTTTTGAGTTTGCTTTGAATATAGAATTTAAACCTGAAGTCGGTTTCATGTATATCAGTTTCGAATATAATTGTCTAGTTCATGGACCACAGGGTTATCGGCTTACACCCATTGACTTCCAAAAGGATGATGAACGGAATTTCCACGCTGAATTCGTTGCCACAGCAGCCAGTCTACGAGCTTGCAACTATGGCATCCCAGTCAGTGACAAACTACAGGTGAAAAAATGCCTCCCAGTGCCATATGAGATTTCTCAATTTTTGTAGACTGATGTATTTATCATATTTAATCATCCTTGTAGTGGATGGATTACTGACAGACTGATATATGCATTTTCTTTTTCTCTTATTATTTGCTGCCCACCCACCCACGGTCGCCCTTAATTTGATTATCTGCCTATTACAGGCAAACGTTGAAGAGAAAAACTTTTCATCAGCATAACTGCTTGCCATCTTTTGTCAATTTGAGGAATTGAGCCATAGAGTATCTTATTTCTGGCTTGATCTATCTTACAGGCAAGATTTGTGGGTGGAAAAATCATCCCGGCAATCATCACATCAACTGCAATGGTTGGAGGTCTCATGTGTCTAGAACTGTACAAAATACTACTTCAAAAGCCTCTGACAGACTATAAGCATGCGTACTTCAATCTCGCGGTTCCTCTATTTACATTTGCTCAGCCCATCAGAGCTGTACAGAATACGGTGAGTAATCATCACAAGTTCAACACTAAGTTGTGTCATATTAAGTTGGTGGTGAATTTTGTTGTCTTTGTTATGTACATAAATAAGTATTCTTTGTTCAAGCAACCTTTGAAGTGGCCTTTTCGTCAGAGCATACTTTTTACATTTGACCTGAATTCACTTCAGACCAGTTCTGCAAGTGGACTCCCATCTGTATTGATTACTGTTTGCCACTTACTCACCTTTCTTGTCTTCGCGATGACGTTTGCAGGTCGCAAGGCGTCAAGATACTCCGCTAACATGGACGCTATGGGACAGATTTGAAATGGAATGTGTTGGTATGACATTAGAGGCATTTTTGGCAGAGTTCAAGCGCCAACAAGGACTTGAGGTAATAACATCTGTACGACACTTCAGGTTTTGCGCACATCAGTCTATTATGAATACAAATCACACGTTATTAAGTTGCTTGAGGGCCTCTGCGTACTGACAATTGCCATTTTAATGTTCCAAGTATCCTTGGGTTTGATACTTGGGTTTCTAACTTCTCCGTCTGTTATATTATGAGTGCAGATCACTATGCTCTCCTTCGGAAAAAGTCTCCTGTACGCGGAGTTTCTTCCCCGCAAAAAGTTGCAGGACAGACTACCTCTCCCATTGTTAGAACTCATCACGGTGATTGGGAAAGTAACTATCCCTGCTACTGAGAGCAGAATCATTTTTTCAATCTCCTGCACCGATGCAAACGACGATGATGTCGAAGTACCTGATGTTGTCGCCCGTGTTCGCTGATCTGGTCGACTGGGCGACCTCGGTCTAGACAATCCTCAAATGAACAAACAGTGCAATAAAATTTCTTGTACATTTAGTTCCTAATCAATTGACATAAGGCTCGTCAGTTGTCTCGAAGATGAGTATGTTTTTTGATCTGGATATATCGCACTTCATAGAATGGGGTCATTTGTCCGGTTCCTTGAGCGTTGGTTGAGCGTGGATTGAGCTTCCTGGACACAACGCTGGATAGTCACTCGTATGTAAATGTTATGGATGGAATGTTTTCAAGCTACCAAACCTACTCCTTGAGATCATGGACTGATATTTTTACGGCCGTTAGCTTATGTTTCTGTATCGGGAAGCTCCGAGATGACAGCTGTGAGCATTAGGTGCAGCAGAGAGGAAGATCCCAAACGACGCAAAACCGAAAAAAGATGGGATGAAGTGCAACGTCATTAAGTGAGAAGATCGTTTGCGCACATTGCCATAAGTAGATAAGATGTTTGGCTTTGGAAGACTGAACTGCACATATCCTGACATGGTATCAACTGCAGTAGGATAAGACTGTAGTAACCCAAACGGTCTACAAGTTACTCGTTGTAAATCCGAGACTGATTGAAGTGTGTGAAGTTTTGTTTTCGCGGTGGGATTTTATTAGCTGAAACGTTGGATGACAACTGCGTAAAAGGTGGTCTGTTTGTTTTCATTTAGCATAGGTACACCAACTTCTTGTAAGTTGGGTCTCTCGTTTTCTCACAAATTGGTAATTACAAAAACCAAATGATTGAGAATGGTAAATACCCATCACTTTGTGCAATTTGGTTCGAGGTGTTAAGGTTGAAAAGAAATGAAACGCAAGTGAGTACACGCGTCTCTATACAAGTGAGTGCACCCGTGTGAAGTGGCCGTTTTTCAAGGCAAGCCTTCTGCCCTCAGCCCTTAATCGTTGAGACTCCAGCCTAGTGGGTTTCCCACCGAGAGTAATCAAAACCATTTGGTTATGATAACATCACGAGAGTTATCCGATTGGTTTCATTCTTGTAGAGCTTAATTGTCCCCTTCCTTTTGGCTCTATCATTGGCCCCTTATCATCGCAGACAGGCAGATCATAATCCTAGTCATAGCCGCATCTATTTGGACGTTATTTCGATGAAATAAAAAGGCTTGTGGCCTACCAAATTATTATATATAAGTAAAAATGGTGGAGGTCACAGAAGTGGAATTGTGACTCGAAGTCACCATTTAAATAGATCAGCGCTGAAGAATTTTGTACAGTGGAGTGATTTCTACAGTTCACTTGTTGTATCCCTTGTAGTTTTCGTATTGTGTTTTCCAAATAACTTAAGGTCACTTAGTTTCATTTGGAATTTCAGCTGAACAGTATAATATGATTTAATTTAGTTCATCTAATTTTAAAAGTGATTTCTTAGTCTTTTTGTCGTAATTCTGTCTATTTTTTTATTTTTTATTTCCCATTGGTTTGAGATTCTTTATCATCATCAATTGCGAATAAGTTCCGTGCATCTTATCAGTTATAAACCCTAAACCCATTATGGAATTTCCGCTCGATTACGTTTGGACCTAATTATTGTAAAGAAATAGACTGAAAATGCACATCATATATCGTAGTAATTATTTTGTATAATGTGTGTTTAAAAAATGTAATATGTAGGATCTTTTTGTTTCCTGATCTTTAAAAAAGTTGATTAATTCTTATAAACTCAAGATATGAATACATGCCATAAGATCATTCACGAATGCAAGACATTATGGACCATGTCATGCTTGTTGTTCAACATTAGTAAATCTAGCAAGCTTGTTAAGAAGTGAATCTTGTAGTAATTCTCAAAGTTTAGCTATCCAAATGTATAAATTTTGTATCAAATCTATGTCTGCAATAGTGATTATCAATATAAAAATATTCGAGTTCGCTAATCAATATATATTAATTATAAAAATTCGTAAATATTAATTATTAAATTTTGGAAATTTATTAATAAATGTAAGAGACTCAACTTGAGATTAGACCTCACATTTTAATTATCAGAAGTTATTAATTTAGGCCGGTTATATTGAATCTATAGTACGAGTGCACTTTGCTCTCTTCAGTCTTTGAAGTTACTGTAATTTCTATTTCATAAGTAGTAATCATATGGTGTGTTGGCTTCAGTTGTCTTTATCTCAGGTTCTCTTGCATTTTTCTACGAAGAGCAAATTCTTTTCGTGGGAGTTGCTCTAATTCATGAACAACGTTGAAGCCTAAAACGTTGTGTGAAACCATTGCACTGAGTAACGTAAAGTTAATCTTGCATTGTATATGTAAAGGAACACGTTTTAGAACGTCGCGAAGTTCTAAAACGTGTTCCTTTACATATATATCCGGTAAATTGTTGTTGTTTGATGTGATACATCAAACAATTTAGGTTACGATGGGGGCGAACCAAGTAAATACCTCCAATTTTCTGGTGATCTTGTTGGTGTGTGAAGTAACAGATTACAAGGTGAGTATGTTCATGTTTGCTGATGAAACTGCCTATCTCAGCCCCAACGTCCCACAGGCGTAGTTGACTATGATCCTTAACCTCAACCATATCAACCATGGTCAAGAGCAGTACTCAGCTGTCATTTCTGGCGTTATTGGGGATCATAACTCTGTACTGCACATAATATCACTGTTTTGTAGCTCTCGGGGCATGCATTTGAAAGCTCGTGGTTCAATTTGATGTCAATTGAGGTTGTACAGACTCTGATGCAGGTGACATCAACAAGTACTACGACCAATTATTAACGCAGCTGCAAAGATTCAGATTATAATCTATTCGTAATTACGGTTTACTTCTCAAGAGGGAAAATCTACCCACTAGGGAACATCACAAAGCTAGCATTTGGTTCGTCCAATTCTAATGACTCTGTTGATCCTCGAGTCTGAAATAAGAGGTCTTGACTTGAGGTGTACGCTAATCACTAGATCACTGCGGGGCAATGAAGTTCTCGGCAGGGAAGGTGAATGCTCAGACTCAGATGGGGTGCCAATGAGACGACCCTCCTGTGTGTGCCCTCCGAATACGAGCCAAATTGCTTCTCCGATCTCAGAACAGGCCTGGATCATGTAGATATGCATGCAGCTGTAGTCAATTCAGACAGAGAGACCCACCTCCTCGCACAAATGACATTTGATTTACTTTCACGACTGCATCATGCGCTGCTCCTGCTCCGATATCTACGTACGATTCCACAGCGGGGCATTCAGCCTTCACAGCCGCCTTAGTCTGATCCACTTCTTGTCCGAAGGTGAGCACGAAGTATTCGTCCGTTCCTCATGCAAAAGGATAACGCAGAGTTTCCAATGGAAACGGATCCGTCGAATTTTTCTAATATCCCACAAAAGTTCGTGGTCACTGCGGTGGACAAGCTGAAACCTCTGTGCGCGTGAGTGGGTACGCGGTTCTTCCTTCCATGGATGCATGCACGAAATAGAATGGACGATCTGGACAACCTTGACTGCACGAAGCAATGATTAGTCAAGTTGAAGAGAATGTATGTTTTATACAGAGAGCATTAAACTTGCAAGGGGAAACGAACTAATCATACTCGACTGTGGATTCTTCTTGCATTCATGGAAGTGCATGCAAGCGATTGGATGCTGCCGACGAGTAAGCTGAACACCTCGCGGTGCTTACACCTCTCTTTTCGCTTGGCAGACGCAACTTTGTGCACCAGTTCGGCAAGAACTGTTGATGAAGGCATTATTTGTCTCCTGAGAAGATAGATAGCTGGAATTCCATCGTGTTGCCAGGGGAATTCAGATCCTTCAAGAGAAAGACAAGAGTCTCCTCTAGCATTTGAGATTACAGATCGTTTGCTAAGCAATATAAGCAAAGCAAGATATCGGTAGATATTACCTAAAGAAATATAAAAAAGCAACTACACATCATCCCTGATCGACCACTCACCATCTCATTTCATGTTACTCCACATATTTAGGCTTTATCTGCTCATTGATCTCGAGATTTCCATCATGTGTGTGCAATGGACACGTTAATGAGAATCTGTGCAACTTCTGAGCACGGCTTCATCGAATGAAGCGGACTTTCAATGGACCTGATCCTGAGCCTGAATTTTAATACTCTTTAATCCGGAACAGATCATGACTGAGCGTGCTATGCAATGCGTGGAAGCAGCTCGTCCAGAGCGACGGGCGTGAATTTTGTTTCATAAACAATTTCCTGTAAGACTGTTCAGATGGCTCCTTGGACTCTGCCACTCATAATCTGAATGGCTGGCAAGAAGGAGGCCGGAGAGAACCTCCACACTATCAACTGAACGCGGATGCGTCAATTTTGAGATATAGGCCTAGTTTTGAAGCTGCTGTACTCAAGCTGGAACTATCAAAGATTCCGATTATCAGATATTGCGGACGGAGATCCGGCCGAACGCATGCTAAGAGATTCCATGAGCTGGAAAATAAGCCAAATGTACAATATCGTATCAAGGAAGCAATGGTCATTTGTTCATTCGATCATTACAATTGTTCGATTTTTCATGTACATGTGATAATCTTCCCTGCTACCTCCATCTTGCTCGGACATAGATCCAATCCAGACTAAGCGTCAACTCAAGGTGACGTGCCTCGCATTCAGATCCATCCATCTTCTTCAACTGAACCTGGCCCAAGTACTAAAACTCCCATATCCCGAGCTGGGACACAAGAGATTACGGACTAAGAGAGAAGGTGGAAGGGGAAGAGAAAGTAGTTTTCTACCCGCAATTGACGCGGCTCGTTTTTCTCAAGTGTCATTGCCCCAAGCGCAAAATTTCATCTACAAGTTTGAACAAGTTGCGAAATTTGAAACTTTGAGTTACGTTGTGGAGGTTGCATTCAGCGGTGACCATAACTTGGTGTTGGAGTGTTATTTGGAAATTCGTGGGTTTGTTGATTTCGGCCAGTCGCACATGCATGCAAAGTTTCAACCACAACGGATCCGGTTAGAACAAGTTGTAAAATTCGAAACTTTAAATTTAGATTATAGAGATTGAATCTTCAGGTAGCCATAACTTTACGCTAGAATGTTAACTGGAAATTAAATTTTGTGTGATTGTCAAACTGACCCGGGCGCACATGCCTGCAAAATGCCTCACAACGGAGTCTGTTGAACGAAGTAGCAAAACCCAACCCAAACTCATGCTTTGCTATGAGGATGTGGAGTTTTGCTCCCTAATGGGCTAGGAATGTGCTGGGAGGGTAGTTAGAAGCTCTCGCTACGCATTTCTTCAACCCGAGTGCATACCTTTGTTGAGCCTAATCTTCTTCAGAATAAGCTTGAGGCTGAGGATTGTTTTGGCTCAGTCGATGAAGATTTATGGGGAAGGTATCTAGTTGCCTTTGACATGTGGGTCATCCAAATGGATAATCACTCTGTTGCTAGCGTAATGAAGAATGGGGCCATGGTTTACTCCGCAATAAGTAGGAATGCAACAGAGCAATCACAATAGCAACGGCCCACTAATTTATATTTGAGAAGGACCTAGAACCTGTTAGTCTTCAATTTGTTAAACTTTTATATTCAATGCTTAGTTTCTGTGTCCTGCCAAGCATCAAGCATCTTACAAAGTAGAGGAACGGTTGACCTCTTCTAGTTTACTAACTATGCGTTGCATGTTTAAGATCCAGGCAGGGAGCCCTTCATTCAAGAGTAATGTACATTTGTGGATGAAGTATACATGAATTGCCTTTGCAACATCTGTTGCTGGATAACATCCCAAAACGTGTGGGCCAGATGTGCGCTTTCCTGTTTAGCCTCTACAAGATTGTGCAAATCATGAGAAAGGGCACAGCGTATGCTGCGGCAGAAGTCTACCACCGCAATAGAAGACTTGCGGAAAAAGCTAAAAAGTTCTCTGTCACTATCTGCTCAGATTCATCATCAGAATTCTTACCAGGCTATGTGTTATGAATGCTCGGATACGTGTCAACTCCGGCTGGCAAGAAGATATGTTCATCTTCATACACTAGTAGTCCACTATATTATGCCTAGGGTGATTTTCACCGCAATAGAAATAATGTTGGAAACTACAAACTTCTGAGTTTGGAACTCTGATCTAAGAGATTCCAACCTGATCTATTATTGTGATTGTTTCAGAATGGGTTTCACCATGAATGTAGAGAATTATATTGAAAGAATCAAATAGCAGATAGAGCAATGATCAATGTGAACGACAAGATGTTTATTATCACTTCCATGCATAGATCACTATAGGTCTCCGCATAGCGACTTTACCTTTGCGATCAACCCGGAGTCACCGAGACAGTTAGTTTTAGTTCCGTAACCGCTACCTACTAGAACGGTAAGAGGTTGACGTAAGCATGTGTTAGTAGGCTAAAGTAAGATGGTGTGTTAAATCTCACGTCATGACTTTTCAAGGAGTGTTATTTCCAAAACCCTCTTTCGCTTTATTTTACAAAAGGTGTGGTGGTTTAGAGCTCACCATTGAGTTTTTTGGAATCAGGCTTGTTAGTATTGGAGTGCTTGGTGTCTCTTGAATCTCCTTCATCATGTTGTAAATGGTGCTTTCGGTTTGGTGATAAAACTTCTTCAGCGCTCCGCTAATGCCTTGTTGAAAGGATTAGAAAGTTTTAGTTTTATTATTGCCAAAAGCTTCTCGACTAATTGCAAACTTTTCTACGTCGAATGACTTTGTCTCGCAGTTCATTTTTTGTTGAAATATTGGTATGTAAATTGATTGTAAGTCTCCTACCTTTGCTCTTTCCCTTATGAAGTGATATAGAATTTATATGTGCTTTATTCTGCATGCAGATAATGATTCACTATAAGTTCAATGCAAGACTTGTCATCGCTTAGAAGTAAAGTTGTTGCTTTTTTGCATAATCCTAGCTCCGTTAGTAATTGGCGTAAAAAAAGTATGTCCTTTTTTGCAGCTTCAATAGCTTACATTAGACTATAGACTGCAATATGCTATTTCAATCAATCGCAGTTCTTTCAAGCTTGTGAACACTTTCGGTCGATCTCTGAGTATTGACATCACTTCCATATTCAGAGTCGGCAATCACATAATATATCAAATCTCCATATTGCTTAAAGTGAAGATTTCAATTCATTGTTCCCTTCAAATACCTCAAATTGACTTTGTAGTACTCCTCATCAATTTACACTTGGTACACGCAGCTTTTTTGTCCTTGTTCATACACTTGTGAAGTTGAAAACTATTCATCTTCATGATTTTTTGCTTCAGTGTGTATGATTATTTTATCAACAAAGTTGCTATCATTGACTCTTAAGTTTTGGATCTCGGACATGTCTATAACTGGAAGAGATGTTGAACTTGCGCTTGGTATCATTTCCTCAACTTCAATCTAATCATTATCAGATCTAACAAATGCCGGAATGATGTCTTTTTTATGTGCTTTGAGCATTTTTTAGTTTAGTTTAGGAAAACCTACTCTTTTCTCATTAATAACATATCTCGTGATAATAACTTTTTTACATTTTGGACAATGTACTTCATATGCTTTTGACTCACTATCATAGCCAATCAACATGCACTGTATTGATTTACATCCATTTTACTACGTTTTTCCTTTGAAATATGAACATGAGCTCAACTCTCAAATACTATAAGATGATACACATTGGATCTCTTATCTTGTTTGAACTTTTTTTTTTCATGATTTGCTTTTGTTGGATCAATGTTCACCAAAAGAATTATTCTATTGACTGATTCACTCTACATGATCTCGGAAAATTGAAATTCGATTGCCATTGCTTGAGCCTTGTTAATTATCGTTCTATTAGGTTGCAATTTCATTCTGCTGTAGTGTTTGAAGTTGTGTCCAATTTCTTGTAAAGACTTCAACCTGCAAGTATACTTCAAACTCCTTCGACGTATATTTGGCTACTCTATAGAGCTCAAAGTTTTGATTTTTTTATTTGTTTGTCTCTCCATCATTGCTATGAAGATTCAAAATTTTTTTGTAGGTTTCATTCTTTGCCTTCATGAAATAAAAAAAAAACATTCTTGAATAACTGTCAATAAATGCTATAAAATACTTAGACTTGCTTAGTGAAATGCACGACAAAGTTCCAACTACATTTGTGTGAATTATATCTAATTGTTCACCAGATCTATTACTTTATGATCTAGGAAATCTCTCTTTTGATTGCTTATTAGTCTAACATGCTATGCAAACTTTATGAATTTCATCTACTCCAATTAATTTTTACATCATGATTTTCTCTAGACAAGTGACTTACTCCATAGAAATTGAAACAACTAAACCGAAGATATCACAAATTTGTGTATCTTGTTTTCATCATGATGTCTATTTCACCAACTAATGAGTTAAACATGATATATTGGTCTCAACTTCCTATAGCTATAACTTGATTGTTAACTAAGTAGTTTATGATCCAACAATATCTTTGTACAAATGAAAGAGCATGATCGAAATATAGAGCAAATAAAACAAGGGAGTGACTAGTTATTCCTCACTTATGACTAATTAGTAACCCTCATCTTAGTAAAAGATCTTCTTGGATTGGTCAAACATCCTATACTTGCTCACTACTATTACACTACATCGACCAATAAGAGAATTGCATACACTGTATCGACTAATAAGAAAATCGAGTAGATTAGAATGAGAACTAATTAACCCAAAGTGAAAGATAACTAGCCGCTCCTTAAACCAATGACTAAACAAGAATGTGTACACAATGTTAATAAACATTGTGGACACATATATATATACATTCTATACTCAAAGGTGGATATGTCACTATAGATCACCTTGTAGCTACTTTGATTTTGGAATTAATGCCGAATCACCGAGATATTTACCAAGACACTTGGCTAGGTAATCGCTGCCTACTAGAATTGTAAGAGACACTTGGTTAGTTAACCGGTACCAACTAGAATTGTAAGAGACACTAGGAAACCGGTACCTACTGCTAGAATTGTAAGATAAACATAAGGTTCACATAAACATGTGCTAGTTGTATAAAGTAAGAGTGTGTTTACTTCCACGTCATGACCTTTGAGGGAGGGTTACTTCCAATTATATATACAGCTATTACTCTTAGTTGAGATGTCACACTCATAATAAAGACTTGGTACTCTCATTAGTCGGATCTAGACCGCAGCAACAATTGATAATGCTGTCGTTGGAGAAGCCAAAGCAGAAGTAGAGAGATTCACTTGATGATCAAGGTAGGCAAGAAACCTCCAATTCGGGGATTGATTCTCCGAGCCGTAATTTTCTCTCCTGGCTTCTAAATCTAGAAAGCAGATCCCCACAACTCGGAGCGATCAGATTCTTCTCTTTCAGCCTCTCTCCCACTCTCAGTCCCTCCCTCCTCACGGACAAACGAACAAACCTGAACAGAACATCACCGAGGAGAGGAGCAGCAGCAGCAACAAGATTACAAGGAAAGAAATACAGAAAGAAGGAAGGGAGGGAGGGAGGGAGGGAGTAAATTACAATCGTAAATTTGCACACATTGTAGACTTAAGATAGTCAAAGATGTGATTATACAGAAGGTCCGGAATCCCAGTACCCAATAAGTGTAATTTACAGAAGTATCCTCACAACCGTACAAGGAAAATGTACTGAAGTCTTATGATCCCACTACTGCCTCTTCAGTATTTACTTACGGAAAAGGAAAACTTTTTTGCCCACCTCTGGAAGATCTAATCCTGCAGCGTCGGAATGTTCTTCCTTCTCTCGATTTACAATTCTAACGACGAAATCGGCGAGTGCTTGATAGTTTGAGGATTGCACATCTGTGGGTCTACAGACATTGAAATGGTCCTCCCTGATTGCAGATAATGTCCCAGCTCCACATCCCGCTGAAGCTTCGGTTACTATCTTGATCGGCTCCAGGTTGTCACCCTGTCAAATCCAAAGATTTTCTCATTTTCAGCTTCATGCAAATAGGCCAAAATCGTTTTAAGCTAAAGCAAATTTCATTGGATCTGTATCTGACAAAAGTGGAGCTAACTACAAACAAGAAGAAGACTGCAACTGACGTTCTCATCGAATCGAAAGGATCTGTGATTGACTAGAAAGGTTCCAGAGTACTACCAGATCAGTTTCATTGGATTCGAATGCCCCAGAAACCTCTATGCCATGATTGGCTGCATATTTTGTCATACCCTCGTGAAGTCGAGCAACATCCTTGTTCAGTTGCTTAAACAAAGTTGTCAGAGCGTTGTACGTTCTGACAACTGGTACGTTGTCTCCCGATGGAAAGAGCCTCTGAACAACTGCATCTTGGAGCGCCAGGTGTGGGGTGGAATAGAAGAAGAACCCCTTCAAATTATTCAAAAACTTGGGCAGATTTTTGTAAGCAGATCCATTCTGTCGAGCTTTTTTCGATATATGGTCCACCAGTTCCATGATCAGCAACCCTCCAAAAGAATGACCAACCATGATGACAGGTACTCCTGCCCGTTGACCCACGCACACACGATCACTTCCAATCATACTGTTAACGAAGTTTTCTGCTATGTTATATATATCTAGTCGACCTCTGTTGTCAGTTCTATCCTTTGCAGCATCGTAACATGCAGTCAATGCTCTCACACTTATGTTTTTACTGGTCAGATGCTCATCCTTGGCGAAGAATGTTTGCGGCCAGTATTCTGTAGGAGCATCGGCTTTCTCGGATTTCACCTTCCAAGTGCTCAAGTGTGGCTTACTTACGTCTTCATTCCCCATCTGGATCCCATGAACGAAAATTATCTCTACACTCGGATTGTCTGGATTGCAAAATTCATACACATTGTCATTGATTTTTCGCACCTGCGAAAGCGTCACAATCGGCCATGAGTATGCAATCGTCATGTGCAAGGTCTCTGATCTGATAACTGATCTATGACATAGCAGGTCTGTCTATCTCCAGTATAACGAGTACCACAAGTAGTTTCTACTAAGTGATAGTCCTAATGTATCGATAAATCAAGCACGAAAATTGCGTGCTTTAACACTGACACATCCAATGAGAGTTGATTGCCTCAGAGAAATACAAATAGAACATTGCGAAGAGATCTTACCCGTGGTTCTCCATTGTGCTCCATTTTTGCCGTGCTAGAGATACCAGAGTTTCAGTAGAAATGAAAAGTTAAAAGCTTGTCTTCAGGTTGTACAGAATCTTTTCTTGGACCATTCACTACCTGCTCTCAATCTGATATCTCAATCAGTATTCAGAGTTATTACAGCGCAGCAATCCTTACAGATCTAGAGATCGACCACTAAACCCTCCTGAGATTCTGCTCAGAGTCGAAGAAATATCGTGATGAGACTTTCAGCCGCTAACAAAACCTTATCCGTTTGAAGACTCGCACGAGACAAATTCTCGACACATTCCGAGCATCAGCGTTCGTTGTTGGTCCGTGTGACCTCGATGTGCACTTGTTTCTCGAGGGGATTTTTCCAAGTGAAATTTCAGGAAGGAGCAGATTCATGGTCCGAAGGTCAGGCCACATGAGTGCTGACTTTTCAGGCACATGGATCCAAACAGAAGAGCAGTGCACTGGGAGCTGGAGACCGGGGAGCACATCGTGTTGACGAGCTTTGGCATAAAGCACATTGACTCTATGATCGATTGACAATTGTCCATTGACCTTCACATAATAGTGACTAGTCACTTTAGTTTCACATTCTCATGTCTGCAAATATTACTTTCAGTATATATCAGAAACAATCTGCAAAGCGACTAGTTATCATCATTTCCCTGGATTTCCTCATCAAACTTCTCTGTGAAGCTCGGCGCCAGACCATCCATCGTAAGATCGTACTTTCACAGAACTTGCAGCGCCATCTTCGCCATGAGACCTGTGTAGCCCACTAAAATAGTAAAGAAGTACTATTGCAAAATGAGAAAACCGAGTAGCGTCCCGGCGTTATATCAATCCCTGATGGTCACGTGTAGATTGGTCACACCTGGTTGCTGTATAGCAATAGATGTATAGTGTCTAAAATATATTATGCAGTAACATGTTGAACACATTTATATATTGTTGTCAATGTGCTGAAGAGTATGGTATAGTCTTCAACATTCTTTCTACAATATTTCAAAGTTGATATTCATAGGTCTGTATTTCAGTATATGAAAGAATCAAAGAGTTTGAATCTTTGAAAAATCATGTAATTGAATATTCTGTCTCAATCTGTAACACTCATGATTATTTTTCTCTGAAAATGGTCCACAATCAACATCTACATCACAACAGTTTCACGTTGCTTCCCGATTCAGTACTAATAATTTTTAAATGGAAGTGACTATGTCTTAAACATGCAATGGAGTCAACTGTTTATCTCAAAATAAATGGTTTTTTTATCAATATAACCTTGTATATTTCCTCTTTGAAGTCCGGATAAAATTACTAAAAAAGGAGAAAGAGTTGAATATTCCAATTCAGTCTATACTAGACATCTTCCGTAAATACAATCTCTTTATATCTTAATGCTATATTTTAATACATATCTCCTGTATGTATTAAAATTTATGTAGTTTTTTTTATCCTTGTTATAATTTGATTGGTATGTTCTTAACATTTTACTAGCTATATACAATAAGATTTTTTATTAACAAGATATTTGAATTTTAAGTGCAACTTAACCAAGCTAAGTTGAAAGATCATTAAAGTCATACATCTAATCTTAAAAAAAAACATATATAAAGTCGGAAGATTTTTCAAGGAATTTTTTTTTTAGCTTTCAAGATTTTTTTAGTCATGCAAAATTTTTTTTAGATTCATAAGGTTTTGAATCAAGCAAAGGTTTTTAGTTTACAAGGCTTTTTCAAGATTGAGATGAATATTTATCTAAATTTTTGCAACTAGCAGCAAGTTTTTGTGATTGTAGTTGATTGTATTTTTGCCAAAAAATTTCTAACCTCAAGTGTAATAACATAATTTTTTCATATATTAGCTTTGCAACTAGGTGCTTGGACATTATCACATTGAGATGATGACCATGTGATGATGATGCTGGTCTAAAAATAATATGCATACGTTATGACTTTCTAATTTAACTCTATCAAAAAAATTATTTTCATCAATAGAATCATCATAGCTTTTGTATATTTTTCAATCAAATGTATTGTGTTTTCAAATTCAATGCAATAGATTTTCATATGATTTGAGTACATAAGATATCAATAGAGTTGATGATGTTTGGTATACCTCAAAAAGATAATGATATAATATACCTATACTTGGTTTAAGACAATCATATTAGTGTTGCAATTATCAAAGTTATATACAGTGTACATGACAATGTTTTGAAATGTGATTATAGATCATCTTATATGATTAACAAATGGAGCAACAAAATGTAAAGGTTTCAAACCATAGATATATTGTTAATATGAACTAACATTATCTTTATGAATATCTTTTATGAACTAAACTTTGTGTACCTTAACTCTAGGTAGGATTTCTGCGGTTCACTGTAGAAAAGTGTGAGTCATAATTCTCCTTGAATAAATATCAGGTTCTAGTTTAACCTTCAAGTTTCCGTCGACATATCCCGGCACTGTCAAACCACGTATATTTTTGTCGTGTGAACGTGTGCTGCTGCTCTCTTGCTCTTCTTTGAATTTCATGAATTTCTCATTTCTCGTTCCAATAGAAAATCAAATCAATTTTTTGAACTTTGAACTTTGAAGTATATGTTTTGGAAAAATGTATGATATAGGTCAAAATTAGTATATTGCATGAAGTTTTTGGGACAATATGAATTTATTGCTTGAAGGAGAATATTGATTTTAAATAAATATAGTAAATACAATAATGGATAGATTTTTTAGAATCTTATGTAATATCTAGAATTAGACGAATAAATAGTTATGAACATTTTTTTCATTGTGATAAATTTATTTGTGTTTTCAATAGAACTTATTTGGTTCATGTGTAATTCCTAGGCATAGATTTATCTCCTGAAGATGGCACCATCCCATTCGCCGTTCCAAACGAACTGCATACAAGTCTTAATGGAGTGTTGTTCAACTTCCTGAACCATGAGGTTTCACGAAAGGTACGATGAACAAAATCCAATCAGAAGAGTTTTTTTAACATCCTTAAGACCTCACAATTCAAGGACTGTTTTCCTCCTTGCCATCAGATGTCGAGGCTTGGGATGCGGCAGACCAGGTCCTAAGCTCTTGTGGGCCTCTGGCCCTAACTGTAGTCCGGACTCGTATAATACAACAAGGGGCTAATTTGCACTTCTTACGTCCAGAAGATGATCCGACAGCACATCAGTCTCTTGTTCTAACTATCTGTTGCCTTGTCTTTAAGGGTACCTCATTGCCGCATGGCGGGCCTCAACTTCAATACAGCTACGATGCGCAAGCATGCCTTCAACAGATAACGTGTTGCTCATCTCTCCAGACCTCGAAATATTATATTGTAGAATACAGAGTATATGATTTTGAGCTGTATCACTAAAATATTTAGTGTTTCTGTCGTGGGCTTGTCTTATTGAACACTACGACGGAATAGTGAAGACTAGGAAACGACACTTACAGCTTGTTGCTAACTTAATACTGTAACGTAAAACAAAAATAAATCCTTCGGTTTAATCTTCTCCTTGAAAAAAACAACCAAAGTTCCTCCAGTAGTAAAAGTGATCAAAGAATCACTTGCAATGTCAACCACGATTTTGTTTTGTGTTTAGGCTCTATACCTAAATCTTTACCAACCAGGGACTTTCCAAGATCAAACGGTTCTACACCAGAATTTTTGCCAATAAGAATTAACTACTGCTAGATGACTTGCTTTAAAACGGAACCCTCAACCTCGGGTTATGATACATATAATAAATCATTACAAAATTTAAACAAATATTATGTGATTGCTGAAATTAATATAAAATGTAGTCTTTTTCACTAAAAGCTTTGCAATTCTAAAATATATTTGTATGTATATATATACAAATTAGAATTGCAAATTTTAAATGAAAATTATTTATCTTAAACTCACATGACTTTGATCGCAGAAAATTATGTAGATATTCTATTTTTTTCATTATATCAGAAAAATAAAATTGCTAAAAGTATCATATACAAAATTTTAAAATGTTTCCAATCAAACAAACATGAAATCGTAACATGTTCAACAGTGTAAATCTTTCATTTCTAGCCTAGACTAACTATTTCAAATTTGCATAAAGCATGAGTTGCATACGCAAATATGTTACTACATTCTTTTGCTAGATTGTACATCGGAGCAAATAATTTCTTCATCAATTACACAAAGAATATTGTGATAATTATGTTGAATAGTAAAAGATTCAAAAGCACATTCTGTTCAACAGCTTAATGAAAAAGAGGTAACTCAATCCAGCCAATTCTCTCTGGAAAATGGCCGCCCTCTCTGAAGAGCCTTTGATCATTTTCGAGATTATTTGAGGTCCTTAAAACACCAAGAGCCTCTACTTCTAAACGGCTTGGCTACATCAATCAATGATGGGTTACTACAAACCACTTACGACTGGAACTGCGTACATCTTGGATATCGAAGGTAGTTTGACTTCTACAAACATATTGGTGTCATATTGATCAATTTAGTTGTTGTGTGCCACTAAATTTAATCCATAAGAACGAAGTTTATATCCATACACGATAAGCGGGTCTTGAAACGGGGTTTGATGGTTGAGGTGTTGCCGCTTTTAGAGGACAGAGCAGTTGTTGTGAATTTCTTAAACATAACCGATAGCTCTGACGAGCCATGCCAGTAAATCTGTCATCACAAAATACGCTTGCAACAAGTTTTGCAATTTACCTCTTGTAACGTCGGACTAAGACGTGAAGGAATCAAGAGAGTGAGATATGTACAACGGTCGATCGATTCTTTACTGAAATATATTACAGCCTCCTGGTGAAAAAAATACCCTGAACCCTACAATGAGCAATATGGCACTATTCATTGCTTCTTTTGCCTCTTCAATCTAGCTAGAGCACCCAAGGGCTCTTCAGTTTCAGCTTCCCTTTTCTCTTCTTTCGCCAGCTCTCGAGCTTTGCTTGCTAGGTCTCCGTACACTGCGTCTGGTACAGCCTTCTGAGCAATATCGAGGTTTTCTCCTTCTCCTCCTTCATCATCTTCGTCATCCTCTTGCAGCTCAATCTCTTCGGGGTTCATCGCTTTCCGAGACGTTACTGTCTCTCTCTGCTCTTCTACTCCTCCACTGACAAATCCTAAGGACCTCATTCCTTCTTTCAATGGACTCCTTGGTGGGGCAATTTGCCTCTCGAGTGCCGCCATTTCATCCTCTGGAACACCAGCTCGCTTTAAAGTGTCCACAGCTTCTTCTAGAGAGACCTTTCCAGGTTCCCGTTGCATGAGGTACTCCGGAAGAATAAAATGCATCTGAAATAGAAACGTCAATGGGAAAATTAGAATCAACGGGAAGCAAGGCTTAGGGTTAGACCTGGTAGACTCCGGGCTTCATTCGTTTGACGAGAAAACGGTGCATCCAAGGTACTCTCCGGCAGAAAAATCATCTGGTCTTCCTTCCAAATCCAGCGTTCATATAATTCCATATAGTCAGGAGTACAAGATTTTTTTAATGAGAAACACGTTTTATCGAAACTTACCTGACTATAGCTGGCTGAAACACTACGTTTGATTCGCAGCATTTCCCTGAATGTGTCTTCGTTGCCATGCTGCACCTCAAAGTCATTCCATTTGCTCCAAAACTCAGAATCTGAACGTGGATCGGCCATTTGTGCCGCATGTACATAAATAGCGCGTGCCCTGTCTATTTCGCCCAAGTTGCGCTCCAGCTCCGCGTATTTCATACACATCACCTTCACATCCTTGTCTGGCAATCCTGACTGAATTGCCATCTGGAAAGATACAAGTATCGGGTTAGTTGCATAAGATCAGCAGATTCTATCGGACCCCAAAAACAAACACCGCTTTGATGTACCGATTCGCACTTAAAGACTGCTCAAAGACGAACTCGCCGGCGGGAAGGATGTCATCACGAGTTGCACACCAGCACACACTGAAATCCTAAAATTCAAGACAAAGAGGATGACTCAAGAGGAAAAAATTATTGGGAAGCATTTATTATTACCTCGTAGATTTTCCTAGTTTTCGGGACCCCGAACAACTCGGCAGCCCGAGCTATGTAGATTTCATATACGCTCATCTTCTCATTGTCAGCCACGGCCTTGGTTGCACGCTCATACACTGCCATCGCATGACGATCAAGTCCATGCTGCTCTTCCAGCTTTGCATACTGAAGGTACAATGGCTTTGCATCCTCCGCTGGCACCTGTTCAAACAGACCGTGAAGAATTGACATCAGATCACTTGAAGCCATAAAACAAGCTGAAGAAGTGTAGAGGTGTTCCCCAAACTAAGGAGCCTCTTGTCCAAGTGCGCATTCCCAGAGCGCCCATGATATAGTATATACTAGACCGTCATTGCTCTTCTAAATACAAAATTGAAAAAAAACCAGAGTTTAGCTCTCGAACATAGGCACTGGCTTTTCTGTTTTCTTCATGATGCAACTTAGGAAGTGAGTTATACATACCTTTTCAACAGCCTGCTCAAACAAATCACGGGCACGTTCTAACTTCTTCTCTCCGTAGCGCCCCACAAACTTGACCAGGTATGTTGTCCAAATTTCTCGGACGTGCGGATATTTGAAAATCTGCACACCTCTTTCATATACTTTGAAAGCATCTTCGAAAAACTTATTGCTCTGTATTGACAAAAGAACAGAACGCACAGCAAAGGCCGAGTTAAGTTTGATGCATCCACAGCTTGAGGCTAGGCAATTATCCATTACTCTTGACGACCTCTGATACACACATAAGTACCTTGAACCCTATTCGCTTACGTGTCTCAGGCAATGATACTTACTGCAAACTACAATCCGTGGACTTTTGTAATCAGATTAGACATTTAGGTGGGTGCTTGGAGGGAGGGAAGGGCAAGATATGCACGACGAGGCTTCTACCAAGTAGGCTCATACTTTTCACAGCAACTGCACTAAAAAATGATGCAAGGAGCTTACCTCTAACATGTAGGCATACTGCAGTATGATTTGAGGAGTAGCGATTTTCAAATCCAAAATCCGCTCATATAATTTCCGTGTTCCGTCAAGAGTTCCCAGGCTCTCCTCCAGATCCACATAAAATGTCCAAAGCTTCAGGGACCTGAACACTTTCATTTGCACTGGTTCCTCTCCAGACGCTGCAACTGTTATGTGGTAACATAAAAACGTCAGTAAATGTATGATTCCACAATGTCGCCAGTCAAAATCATAGAAAGGCTACGGCCAACGGTAGCCGAGGCCGCGTAGGCTACCCTAAAAGGTTGCAAGGGCAGGTATCATGAGATTAGATTATGCGGTACTATGACCTTCAACGATTACTCGTCGTGCTCGCACTTATAAAACGTGGAAATATGCTTTCACAGGCTACGCAGTCGTAAAAGTAGCTTTACCAGTTAATATTATGTTCTCAGTACAGCGGCGAAACTTGGAAACAGTCTCGACGAAAAGCAAAAAACAACAACTGGAAATAAACTCTTCATTTTCAAGTAGACCTTTAACAAAAGGATATCTGATCTTAAGTTAACTACTTCGAAGTTATGTGGTGAAAACGGACATCCAGATTAGTGTCCCTCGTTTTTATCCAGGGTAAATACACCGTACACAGACTTCACATGAGCATTTCGTGATCATAATGTAACTTATCTTCAAGGCAAAGTTCTTGAAAGTATTCATGACCTTAGACTCTTCGGCAGAAAGATTATCTCGATGAATAAAAGTCGTTTTCAGGCAAGCAAATTCCAGCATTCACGACCCCAAGAATAACTAATGTTTGAGGTGACAGAATCTTACTTGTTCTTCTAACAGCCAGAGTTGGCTCTGTGGTTGCCCTCCACATTAGCTTCAGGGCACCCTTGAACTTCTTGTGACGAATAAGCATTTCTGCCCACTCGCACCACACAGTTGCAAGATCATCCACAGCCTTGAAACCGACCTGTACGGCCTTCTCAAAGATTTTCTCCGCATTCACTATATCGTTGTGAGCTTCGTACAATTTGGCGAAGGCGACCCACAACGTGTGAGGCTTTCCAACAGCTTTGAAGGGATCGACGGTTTTCACAGCTTCCGTGTAGGTCAAAATTTGACGACCTGGATTGTTCTCGAACAATTTAACTCTCTTGTGCCACTCATGAACATTATGAGGATTTTGCCTCAGCAGAACACTGCTGACTAGCTCTGGACGCCGATCCATAAGGTTTTCAAATCTGGCGAGTCGTAAATCTATATCATTGGCATCATTCAACCAGAAGTCCGAGAGAATTTCAGATTCCCAGTTCCCCTTGGATGTCTTTGACTTTCGTGACTTCGTCTTCTCATCTTTCCCACCAGCCCCATTCACTTGTGGCTTCAGGTCCGCTCCTTCCTCGTCTTCATCTTCCAACGCCTTAATTTTAGCCATCAACATACTGTCTTCAAATTGCGTGTAGGAATCAAAGATCAAGCTGAAATCTCTCACGGTAGTAACACTGGTCATACCCTCCTCGAAGACATCTCTCGCCTTTTCAAACAAGCTTCTCCTGATGTAATAATCAGCGAGCGATGTCCACAGGCGCCCGACCTCATCAGTAAAACGCCTGATTCCTCCTCTGATGATTGCATCAACCTGCAACCCAGAGACTTCGCGGGCGTGCACGGTGAGCAGATTGCAAAGCTCAAGCCACAGCTGGTGTCGGGACTTTCCTTTGATGGATTGGAAGCTCGCATCATTCAAAACCTGAGCTAACTTCACAGCTCCCTCCTGCCACAATTTTGACTCCAATAGAAAGTCTATGAACTCTTCCACGTGAGTCGGATCAAACTTCAGGTACCTTCTGTACACTCGGAGAGCGGTCTCAATGGGGACGCCGGGCTGACCGACAAACTTCAAGTACAGCTCCCAAATCCGATCATGTTGAGTTACTGGCAATGAGCATAAAGCTCTATCAAATGTCCGTCGAGTCCGGGTCAGAAACTTCTGGTCCATCAAAAGCTGAAGGTAAAGAATCCATATCCTCGGCATTTTATGCATGGTTACGAGAGCCCTCTCGAACGTGTTATTCAAATTCTCGTACCAGGAGTGCGTGAGGGGCAGTCCCCGAACGCCCTCCATCTTTTCCCTCAGATATCGGTGCCATAATTTGTAACTACCGGGCAAAGCCTTCAAGGCCCGCTCGAACAAGACAGAGCGCTTACGGAAAGGCGACTCACGACGAGCTTGCAGGTAGCGCCACCACAGCTTCAAGCTGTAAGGGTTTCTCAAAATCTCTTCCTCATAGAGCAAATCCTCCTCAGAGGGATACAAATCCTGCGGAATCGAAGGCATGTCGGATCAACCTTCCTGTACACCCAAAATCGGGCAAAAAATACGAACGCGCACGCGCTCAGAAGTGCTGCGACGCCCACATTCAACTCGTCCGCTCTCCCTCCATTCCGTCTCTCAGCGGCAGAACAGACCTCCCGCCCGCTCCACAATGCCCGCCGATCGAAATCGCGGCATCACAACCACCACCTCGGCACTCGAATCGCGTTCTACGACACGATCTCGTCCCTCGAGCTTCGCAGGTTTCGAAACCCGCAAAACTCGATAATCATCGACAATTTCCACTTTCCGACAGACCTAAACCTAAACCCCGCTCAAAGCCCTCGTCTGCCTTGGCAAGAACACCAGACTGCATGGCTACGTGAGGTAGCCCGCGTTCTTCATTCGGCCGACCGGTTATCTCAGGTGGTGCCTTCGGTACAGTCCCGTCCGAGATCCGGGACTGACCTGGTGGAGCTCGGTGTGTGTGATAAGAGATACGCCAGAGGAACGAGGCGGAATTCGCTCATTGGTTCGAAGAGCTTCGGGATTAAGATTCCTAACAAACTTGCATCTTAAATTTGACGTCAAAGCTTATGTGACGAAAGACTTGTTGGAGGACTCGGACACCGGTGAAGACAAAGTTGATTCGTGTCTACACTCGGGGAATATTTTCTGGCCTGAATAATTTCAGGACATAGATTTTTTTTTTTGCTACATTATTTTCACGGGTTTGGTTTGGTGGGGGTATTATACGTGCTCCCAGACGACTACAATAGTTATGGCATAGGCCTCTGGTGGAATGGTCCTCGTCAAGAGTTCGAGAGGTGGAACACTGATCCAACGCTCCAATATGGTCTTTGTAGTGAGTGAGACTTGATCTACATGACAAGACATGGCTGGCTCCGTTTGCATCCAAATCCCTCGTTCATGTTGTGGTCGAGAGTCCCCAACGTCTTGTTGCAACCATAGTGCAGATTTTTTTGGTGATTTTCTGTAACAGCGAAATATGTCATTCCAAAAACTGTGTGGCATGAAGATGTATAATCTTTGTTGTTTTGCACCCGTCAAATATTTCAAGTAGCAATATAAGTACTTTTTTAATGGTTGATACACATATATAAACTATAAACTCTTGTGCTAGACTACATTGGAGTATTAATCTGTGGGCCGGACGGCATGCGATCAATCTAGTGTTGCCAAACCGTGTAGAGTGCAGAGCATTGAACATCGTACTTGACCATCGTCACCAAACGAGTTTCAGTTATCATTCTGTTAGATTTGACTTGTAACAGTGGGAAAGATAGTAAAGAGTTGTATTATAGCTTGTGTAGTCTCTCCGATGTGTATATCAACGATGAGATACAAGTTATACACTACTCAATGCATTGACGATCATATAAGAATGGCGTTATGATATCGTCAATGATATTCTAATCTGCGTGGAAACCTCAATTAATTTTGAACCTCTAGCTGTTTGATCTTCCAAGAAAATTTTCCAAAAACATAGATAACACTTCTATCTTTGTATGATCTAGAGAATGCACTAATTAAACCACGTATTTATGAACTGAATACAAATCTTACATTGAGTATGATTTGGTTCTATTGTTCGTATCCGGATATTATTATCTATGCATGCAGAATATTATCACTTCCATTGAAAACTACTTATTGTGAATTTTGTGATGGTAGAAGAGCCCAACATTGGTTGCGTATCCTCATGTATGTTGTGTGACATTATTTTTCATGGATGGGCAAGAGTCGTTATTGTTTCAAGGTGGATATGATATCAAAAACTTTCACATGGATAAGAATCACATGGATGTTGTGTGACATTATTTGTCATGGATGGGCAAGAGTGGTTATTGTTTCAAGGTGGATATGATATCAAAAACTTTCACATGGATAAGAATCACATGTCCATCAATATTCCTTGAGACACTGACATATCAGTAAGTGATACTTCGTTATAGCCAGTCCTATGTTAACTTGGTAATTCAATTCTGTCATAAATCGATTTATTGTGGTTTCAGTCAATTTTTATTTATGGAAAATAGAACCAATTATTAAATTGCTTGAATGGCTTACAATACATGATGATTTACGGGAACAGATCCATTAAATACAATTTGTATTCATCTTTCTTCTAGCTAACCTCAGAGAGTTCATATTCCACACACAAATTTACAAGATATATACTAACAAAGCTTCAAGCAAACATTCAAAGTTTAAAAAATTGAAGTTTTAAAGTATTCATGAAAACCTATAGATTTCAGAATTCAATTCACTATTTTGCGAATGATTGCTTATCGAAAACAAGTAATCATTAGTTCTTTTTGTTCTTATTTTAGCGCGTGAATGTACTATTGCTAAATTTCTTTTTCCAATGTGTGATTGAAATTTTATGATGAAATCCACAAAACTCCATGGAAGCAAAGTCACAAATTTGCAAGTCAAACATGAAGGTAAAGACGTTACCGTTGCATTATAACCATCCCTGTCAAGTTCGATCTCATGTATTTTTGCAGCCAATCTAAAGAGTATGTTTCCAATAAGAAATCACAACATTCTTCTCATCTTCAAACAAAATATCAAATGAAATAGCAAAAAATGAACCACATGAAGGTATTTGGCAATCATGTTAAAATTGTTATGACAAGAGATGTACTGATCTTGTTCCTGAAGTTGCAATATGTAAAATGTATCTTGCATTCTTTTCACGTCTTGAATAAAGTCAATTAATCTAGAATAGGGAGAATATTGCTCTTATGTGATACTAGCAAAGCAGAATTTTGAATTAATTGTTGATATCTACAACGATTGATGTGAGTGAAAATAAAGCAATTCACAACATGACAATCGGTTTGAAATCAAGATTTTTTTGGTCCATGAATCCAAAAATACAATAACAATGAGTCAAAAATCAAGACAACATTTTTTTCAACAAAAATTAGCAAATCATAGCAACCTTTGTACATTTAGGTCGCATTTTGTTGATTAAAATCTGTTGTTGACGCAGGTATCTGATAGTGATAGTTAAAGTTATGTAAGATTCTTTGTTGAGATATACATAAATAACAGATCAAACCACAAGATATAGTCGTTGTGCATCACACTAGAATCAAATTAAGTAGCAATTTTTTTTACTAGATTAAAAACAAGTCATTATTTCACATATTTGGTCTTCTATATCCTTGGCATCATTGGAGCATGTTGATAAGAGCATCTAATCCCAAGACGTACAAATTCCATCCATAAACTTCTTAAACATTTCAAACAAATTTTCTTAATTGTGCAGCTCGTAAAGAGAAAGAAAACATAAATTAAAGCAATATAACATAGTCCTCATGACAAACCTTATTCAAACGTTGAAATACAAAATGCTCTCAACAGTTGATGAATTGAATGTAACATATAAGATCTAGCAACCAATGAGTATTTTGATGAGTTTCTGAAAGCAATCGGCGATAACAACCCAAACAAACGATGATACATTTGCATCATTGCAACGACCAAGATAATCGAAAGTCAATTCTTCTCGTGCAATTTTGGCATATCATTAAACTAAACGACAAATCAAGATCAAGCATCCCAATAACAAGCTTGAAAAGCTTGTTGTTTTTTAGATGAGCTCAATAATATATAATCACATTGTCATGTACGATAGGCTTGAAGAGTCTTAACATCTGGTGAATGGAAATATCGTCAGTTTCATACCAAATGAAAGTGTGCGTAAAATTGTGTTGAAAATTTACTTTGATATCAATATACAACTTATCATCAATATTGACAAAATGAGTATGGATAATATTCACCAAAGCAGTATTATCAAAGAAAGTTTGTGTGATGTTTTGTAACAAAGCACGATATTCATCTTCATCAAGTGTTGACTTTTGAAATGATGGGAGTACGGTTGTGGTTGATATGGAACTTTGAAGTACTTTGTGGTCCTAATCGGCTTGCGATTCTTGTTGATCTTTTCTTCAAGGCCCCATATTTGGCAAAAGCTACACAAAACGGATGTAACGGCACCAGACAACGGTTCTTTTGTCAAGATCTTCAATCCTTACTCAAGTTTGTGATCGACTGTAAATGGCATTTTGAGTTTTTTGACGATTTTTCATCAACAACAACTCTTCAACATCGAACAAGAGCGAACATCAAGAAATTCATCAACTTCCAATCTTATTTATAGCATCACGCAAAAATCATTTATGACAAATGTGGCACGGACGAACCCACTGCCATATCTAATGAGATATGATATAACTCATTAATTATTCAACGGAAAGATAGATAGAAATTAGAAAATATAAAAAATGAATTTAAACCATCTCATTTCCATGCTCTCCACATCCGACGTGGAAAGAGTGTTGTAAGGAAAAGCAAAAACTACCACTTGATCATAGCTTATAATTATATTTTGACATACTTAGTGCAAGAGAAAATGAATCTCTACGTGATCCATGTCATAGTAACATTTATGTATACCGTTGTCATAAAGAACTGTGTGTGCAAGATGGAGATTACTGAAGCTTTAGGTTCTAACGCGGAAGCAAAATTTAATGCAATGATGCGTTTTATTGGCAAAGTATTTTATTTCGGCAAATTTGGATCATTAAAAAGATGATTCACTAATTATATCGGAAAAGGAACGTTGTACCTATGACGCGACGATACGTTGAGGATAAAAAGAGTTAGAAGAAATTCATAGCAATGGAACTGAAACCTTAGGTGTAAACCATGTTGAGATCAAGCTCGTACTGAGCTTGATTTCAACATGTATGAGAGATACAAGATCATCGATATCAGAAAAAATGATACCATTACACAACGACCTCAACATTTTCAATGATTGGAGTTACCACTGCTAAATTCAATATTCTCTTGTTGTGAAAGCCAACTTCACATTTCCCATCATGTCACGAGTAGCGCCTAAGGTTTTCAACATGCCCTCAACCAACTCCACACCGGATTTAAACTTCTCTAATGCAAGGAATACCCTAGACAAGAAGTGCTCCGGGCTGAAGCTTGCAGCAGTATAATACCTTCTGATTTTCGTATCCAACTTCGTGTGCACGGGCAATACGCATCACTCAATACATGGCCGAAATTTTGAAAAGCATGGATGCTCATGGGTGTTGTTTTGGGTACAAATTTGAAGTAAAATGTTTACCCATTGGTAGAAATGCTATCATTCCGAAAGCCACATGTCAGTGACTGGATGATCCGTTTCATCGTATGAAAATGGCTGCCTTGCGTGGGGCAGAAACTTACGGAACCGTATAATTTAAGACTTCACCTTAGTTCTTTGTTTCACTTTGACCCTATGGGTCTAGACCCCTACAGAACCGTTCCTCTGGTGGTTTCCGATCGGTCGCATAGCTGTGTGCGTTGTTTCGGGGACATCCCCTCTTGTTTATTATCCAGTTTGCTCCACTTCTTTTGTGATCCCATCCTGTCTTAGCTGGCTAACTGATTGCAAGCAAGCCTTCGAAATCAACGCGGCCCTTCACCATCGCAATGAACTCCAAGGAGTCCTGGATATTTCGTGTCCCTGCAACATCATTCCTGAAGGCCGTAAGTAACTCTTGACATCTTCAAGGGATTCGGACAATATATCCCTCAGTAAGATCTCCAAACTTGATTCCCCGTGACGTGCGAATGAAATTTATCCTTCTCTTCACCCTTTTTCAACTAAATAAACCCACGAAAGCCATTGGCTAAGGTTCCCGGCCTGTCCCTTCATTTGACGGGGCCTGTATACGCGTCACTTCATTCTCTCCAGCTCGACTAAAGTTTTCACCAGGCGCAACATAGCTGCTGTCGGATCGTGAGTAGAAAGTGAGGAGACGAGAACCATTAACATAGTTGATAGATAAAATACACGCCAAGCGCACCAGGGAAATAACCTGTTACCATCAGCAGCTAGAGTAGGTGTAGGAATGAGGAAAGAAAAGGAATTTTTCTGCACTAAAAGAAAGAGCAATGAAAATGTAATGAAAAGTATCACATGAGGGCAATTTTGAAACTCGAGCTGTCTTTCGGCTGAAATTTAAAGAAGAATCGGGATACTAATTCAAAATAACCACATCTGCAGCTCCTTTCCAATACACAGGCCAAAGAATGGCTATCAAAGAAATCGTTTCAGTCTCGTCACGAACATAACGTGATCTATGACTCTTAAGTGCCATCCCAGTAGATAAACTTCTTGACATTATTTTTGAAACCAAATCAACCCATGAGCAAATGTATGTGAGTTCTTGAAACCATGTTCGACATCCAGGACGCAAGGCAGAATGGGACCTACACTGCTTACTGAGAAAGTACTATATTACTGCTTACCTTGCTGTATACAGGAGCTCGGCTGGCATTAAATGTGTTCTTATGTTTCTTGCAGACAGATACATATTTATAAGGGAGGAGAAGACGAAATTGAGAATACCATACATCAAATCAATAAAGCGAGGCTGAAGTGTACTCTGATGTCAGATTTTCTTGAGTCACAACATCCCGGCAACGATATGGAGAGTAGAAGCTCGTCTAACTTGAAGGAGGACAGATATGAAGCGAGCAGATAGTGGAGTTGATAAACCTGCAAGTCTGCAGACGGCCTTCAAGAACTTAGCCAAATTTCATTGAGTTCAGACATTATCTCAATGTCCCTGAACACAATAGAGAGACAGAACCCATGTAGCGTTGGATCTTCGGCGTGCCGACCCGATGCTGGAAAATAAACGACATAAATGACGCTCTCCACATAAAAAGAAGCATCCCATCCTTGTGCTTGTCCTAGAAGAAATTCCGATGTAGATCGCCTCGGCTAATTTAGCTGCTTCTATATCTGACCTTCAACATATCGAGATGCCAAAAAGCACTTTCATTTTGTTCTGAATGATCGTTTCACGTCCTGATTGGACATTTTATATATACATCAATGTCATTGAGCTGCAAGGTACTCCAACAAGTTTACAATCTGCGTAAGCACATCCGGAACACTTTAGAAGGTTTCACTTGCATGAGGGGACACGATTATTCAGGTGTAGAGAGATCGAAAGAGAGAAGAGAAAAACTAACCTAAGGGATAAACATAAACCACATAAGCTTCGAGGACATATTAAGGAAACCTAATATGAAAAAAAATAACTTGCATCTAGATGGCTACGGTACCATACTCACAAATTATCTGGTTGAAATCAGCGTGCGCTAATCTTGACGCCTTAGCAATCTTAATTTCCTTCAGTCGAAGAGTTCTGCTTCTAGTTGTCTACAATTCAGACATCCAACGTCCTGCTATATAAACTGCTCCAACGAGCCTCCTAGGTGGTCCCCGGAGCTTCCGTCGTCTTTGCTGGCTTTCGATTCAGGTATCGAATAACGGCATCCTCCACCCTGGAAGCATGTGTGATTTTCAGTGAAAAAATTTACCTAGCCTCGCACACGACATATCGGACAACCCTATCCGACGTACAAGTAGCCAATAACCCTAGCAATCAGCTTGGAGAAAAGATGCAAACATCAAAAGCATGAACAATCTAGACTCTGACTTAAAGTAGAGAGGTCTACTTAACCCACATCTACTTCTACTGCTTCACTCTGATTCTTGATGAAAAAAATCGATCAAGAATTAGAGCGCAAAACCAAGATATAGAGCACATATGATTCGTCTCTGGACATACCAGAGTACAAAACATCTGACGAACATGTGTCTGATCCACACCAAAATTAGCTCAATTTCAAACAAAGTTCAGGAGATGCTACACAGTTAGATTGCCTGAATTAGGACATGCATTGGACTCATAGACCCCAAAAAATCTAGGAAGAGTGCGTCAGAGACCATGCAGAAAAGATGTGAAGGAAGACGGACTGGACAGGAAAGAAATGATACCAAGGCTGATTGTAGAAATCAGACCGACGCTCCTTCTCTGCGTTGCGACTCGCCTGCCCGCCCACCATTTTCAAATCCCGACTTTGAGAGGCGATCAACCCGTTGATAAAATCGACCGGGGAGTGGCTAAAACCAAGGAAAAAGGCTCGACGTCGTCGGTGCTCATTAATTTTACTGATAGCAGTACATATCAAGTCGTCGTACATGTCAATGTCTCGATGCTTCTCAATGTTTTGGAGAAAATTGTTCATCTCCTTGTGCAGAGGAGCTGGGATATCCACCTGGACATCGTAGCACGCATTCCCAACAGGCATTTTCCCTGACAATTTGATTGAGTGTTCCAACACAATAGGAGGAGGAGCAGAAAGATGCTGCTGGAGCTTGTTTGAAATGTAGGCAAATTTGATCTTCTCGTCTCCCAAAATTTTCTGAAGGGGAGGATCGCAATTCACAATAGTCGGATCAGCGGAGCTTTGCAATTTCTTGGCTTTGATGTATTGCCAGAGAGCTGCGATAATCCGCGGCCTCGTTTCGACTTCCATTCCGAGCATCTCTGCCAGGGCTGCCGAGAGCTTGAACCTCTCGGGGGAGTAATTCATTTCCAACCTTATGTACACCTTGAACTCCTGATCACCTTTTCGTTTAATTTCAAAACCTTCTACGTGAGGACCAGCCTTCGTAACGTCCCAAACAATGGTGTGATTGTCATGGTACAAATTCCGGTCCAACTGGAATGTCACCCTCCTGAAAAAGGAGGAGAACTTATGGTTTTTAAGAGCCTGAAACTGTTGAGCGGATTGCGGCTGATTCTCTGGCTCGCTGCTATCCTCCAAGATACGGCCCATGATACGGAGAGTCCAAGATGGTGGTTCCCGCATGTACGGGTTTTGCATCTCCATGGGGGAGGCGGAGTTCGCCTGATTGGCATACGTGTTGAAGACGTAAATACGAAGGGTGCGCAAGAGTCGAGCCGGAGCGCGCACCGCATCCTGGATATCCATCTTCTTTCTTGCCAATGCGGCATCTACACGCGCCTCGAACTCTAGCAGCTGCGAGTACAAAGCCGATTCTGGCAGCAAGGCAGCAACCCTATCGGGAATCTGCTTCTCTGGAGCCTTCCGCTTCTTCCTGCGGGGAGCCGGCGCTGCTTCTCCAATTTTATACGCCGATACCCCACCAGTGCCGGCTCCAGGCATCGGCCTCCCTCGCCCACGCTTAGCCCCTCCAGACGCATTTCCACCAGCGGCTGGCGCTCCAATACCTCCACCGCTCTGCTGCTGCTGCTGTTGTTGTTGTTGTTGTTGCTGCTGCTGGACTGGGCCGGCCACACCTCCTCCTACTGCTCCTCCTCCTCCACCTCCTGCTGGTGCAATCGGCCCTGAACCCCCACCCACAGGACTCAGAAATTGAGCTCCGACTGCACCAGCTGCTACTAATCCTCCACCGACCGCTCCTCCTGCGCCACTACTACCACTCCCTCCTCCCTGCATTTTGCCACTCGATCAATCTCGGCCACCGTCGCCTGCCGCCTCCTCGTACGATCCACGGCTCCGGCCCGAGAAAACGAAAGGTCTGCCTAATCGGAACCACTGGCACCCCCACCTCCACCTGCACCACCTTTCATCGAAACATGGGAGAATCCATTCGGCCGGGACGAGACCGATTGCGCTGCTCAAGCCGAAGCCGGGCGGGACGATGTGCGGGTGGCGCAATCTTGCAGCACTCGCGCCGAGCCACTGCTGCTCGTCTCTTCCCCGTCCGATTTCTGCACGCATTCGAAATACTCGACCATCATTTCCTCAACGAATGGTCCAATTTAGGGTTTTGATATCGGGTGTCCGAACCCAACCCGCAGTTCCGGGGAATGTTCTTCGGCGGTTTCCGCATTATTCTTCGTGTCCGCACATTCGAACATTTCAGCATCTTCTGCTTTCTATTGCTTTGTGTTTGTTATGTTCGAAAGAGAGAATCACATGTTGGCTGGAAAACAATAAGACATCGAATAAAAATTCTGGGAAAAGAGAACTGCGAAATATGTCATTGGATATTGGAGAGGAGTTGCCTACATTTATTGTGTCTTTCCTCTTTTGGTAAAACATATGGAAAACTCACAATTTTGAAGTTAATTACCACATGTCTAGTTTTCAGATTTCAAGAATTCCAAGATTCATTTACTTGAGATGATTTCTTCTTGCAGCTACCTTTTACTTTTTGTTCATTTTGTCTTTTTCTCTTTTATCTCATTGACTAGTATGGATGTCTTACTTACATTTCCGTGTATTGTTCATGTTTTCCTATCCGAACAAATAAATTAGTTTACTTCTCGCTATGGAAGATTAATTGTCATTCGCAAATCTTGCTAGTGCAATGTGTATATATCACGTTCTTGATTATATCTCACTTGACTTACATTTCCGTGTATTGTTCATGTTTTTCTATCTGAATATGTAAATTAGTCCACTTCTCGCTATGGAAGATTAGTTGGCATTTGCAACTTTTACAATGGCAATGATCGCATACAACTCTTTGTGTGTCACATTACTGTGTTGGATCTACTCATACCATTACCAATCTTTGATTACTACTGCATTTGAAATGTTGAGGATTGGAGAACATGATGCAATGTTTTAATGGTTTCTTAAAAGTATTTTGAGATGCAAATAACTCAACTTTCAAGAAAATTATTTGATGATATTTCTCGGTAATCCAAAACACTTGTTGTACTCCACACGACTCATTTTAACAGATGTGAACCAGATGCCATTGCAATCCACCTTCATACATGTTTCAATACAAAGGTTTTATAATCCGATAGTTTGCAGCTATATCGTGGCAAAAAATATTACCATTATTGGGTCAAAGTACTCTCATAGTAATATTACGGCAATAAGACTAAAGTGTTATAGTGAAAACAATGTTGTCCAACTTGAGAGAACACAAGCAGAAAAAAAACCAAATTACGAGAAGATTTGCTCGATATCACAAACTTAACAAAGACTTTGTAATGCATGAAAATCAATTCAATTTCAAGAACTTATAAAAGATGTTAATCAATCACTCCAAAAAATATAGTGCTTGTAATCTCTCATTGAATAGAACGTGAAATTTCCCTCATGTCTGGAGAAACCCATTACAACCGTGATTACTTACATCTTTGAAGAAATGAATTTTGTTCACATTAAATTGAATGAGCTTGACAATAATATTAACGCAAATCAAACCTTGTGTAGTCATGGAAGAATCTTCTAAGATACCTTGGAAAACTTGGAACCTAATAGCTCTATATACTTTAGTAAACTTACAAGCAAAACAAAGTTTCTAGATTGAGTATCTCATCTGTGTAAGGAATGATCCAGATTTTTACATATGCGACAAGAGCGTTGCTATCATGAAATGAGAACTGTGTTTAAATGTATTCACAACTGCGACATAAACTAAGACAACTTGAAATGTAAATTTTTGACAAAACTAGATAAAGGTAATTTAAAAAATTATGTCAATGTGATTGCAATCATCAAACTCAATACCATTATGTTGTTATATTGGTATAAGAATTTTGGAAACTAGTTCAAGTACCTTATGCAAACGTATATCTACAAAAAATTGTAATAATTGCTATTGTTAAATCTATTTTGTGTCACTCACAGCTTAACTTTGTGAAAATTTAAACTACTTTAGTTACAGATTATTTAATTCTCAAATTTTCCATCAAAACTTTGTTTTGTTGAATGCAAGTAAACTAATCTTGCCAATAACCTTGAATTGAATAGTAAGATTTGCGCATCTTGTAGAATTAAAAATTTCCAGTTGTCCAAACCACCTCGTATAGATTAGTTAAACAAAATCTATTGTTGATAAATTCTATTAGCTAGCTTTTCATGAGAAAAATTTGAAATGTATAGTATGTATGTGATTTATTTAAATGATTTATTTCTTCTTATATAAATTTTGTGAATTCAAGAGCAAGTAATAAAAAAACATTTTGTTTTTTTCCAAGTTTGTACAGTTATATCATCTCTAGCAAATCTTTGATTCTATCATTATATAAAATTGTGCATTTCATTTATGTCACTATCATCATAATATACTTCAAATGTTATAACTAAAATAATCATCAAAGAATTCTACTTCAAAAATTTTGAAAATGTGTCATGACACACTATAAATAAGATAACTGAAATCAGTCCAATAAAAGACGTTGGAGCACTAGCATGAATCACTTGTGAAATCTAGATACTGTCAAAATACATACTATTACTTGCGTGAACAAGCTTGTCATCCACAATGTCTACAATTTCCGCTACTACCTCCTTTCATGTGTACGATGATTGAGTCATGATTGTTTGCATTTGGAATACTTTTCTTTTGTCTTACCAACCTAATTGATTATTATTCGATAAATCTCTAAATGTTTCACAATTTTTGTTTTATGATTTACATGTATAGATCATTAGAGCTCAATGTCATCACAAATGAAGTACTTAACAAACAATTGATCATACTCTCCGTAAAATTCGTCAAATCTAAGATCTATTACTACCTTGATCATATCTTTATCATTTTTTAATTCTCAAAATATAAAGCCTATCTCTCTTCACAACAAGAGCAAATGAGTAATAATTCTCATTAACATTGAGATAAAAATTTATAACAACTTGAATTGTCAAGAAATTCATCTATGAAGGAATTCAGTATTTTAGCAATGATGGAATTGTACCTTGAAATCTTTGTTGTTTACTTTCACCTCATGTCATAACTTATTCTCTTGACCAAAGAGCATTTCCTTTACATCTACACAGTTTTATGTGATTCCGATAACAATGTAATAACATATTCTTGTTTTTCATGTCAACTAGATGCAATAATGATAAAACAATAAAAAATTTAGTCTATAGAATAAGTGATTGAAACGTTTTGTGAAAAAAGTGTGATTATATAATGTTTATGGTAGTTATAGTTAATTAGTTGAAAACAATGATCCAACAATAAAAAATTTAGTCTAAAATATCATTGTTTCTAAAACTTTTATGTAAAAAGTGAAAGATTATATATAGTTTAGGGTTGTTAAAGTGAATTAGTTGAAGACATTGATTAGAAAATAAAGATTTTAATATAAAGTATCATTGTTTCCAAAACGTTTATGTGAAAAATGTTTGATGATATAAAATTTATGATAATTTTAGTAAACTAGTTGCAGAAAATGATCCGACAATAAAGATTTTAGCCAACAAAATCATGAATTTGAAACATTTGAGTGAAAAAGTGTGGTTATATAGAATTTATAGTAATTTTATTAAATTAATTGGATAAAATAATCCGCCAATAAAGAATTTAGTCTAAAGTCTCATTGTTTTTGAAACATTTTTCTAAGAAATGTGTGATTAAATAAATTTTATAGTAGTTTTAGTGAACTAGTTGAAGACAATGAACTGACACTAAAGATTTCAGTTAAAAGTATCATTATTTCTGAAACGTTTATATGAAAAGAGTTTGATGATATAGGAATTAGGGTAGTTGTAGTGAATTAATTGCATACGATAATCCAATAATTCATATTTAGTCAAAAATATCTTTTTAAAAAAAAAAAATTTGTGTAAAAAATGTGTGATTATATAAATTTTATAGTAGTTTTAGTCAAAAATTTGGAGACAATTATCCGAAATTAAGAATTTAGTGAAAAGAATCATTATTTCTGAAACATTTATATGAAAAAAGTTTGATGATTTAGAATTTACGGTAGTTTTAGTAAACTAATTTCATACAATGATCTGACAATAAAGATTTTAGTCTAAAAAGAATGTGTTTATATAGGGTCTTGGTAGTTTTAGTGAATTAGTTGAAGATAATTATCCTACAATAAAGATTTCAGTCTAAAGTATAATAATTTTTGAAATGATATTGTGAAAAAAGTTTGATGATACAGACTTTATGATAGTTTGAGTGAACTAGTTGGGAATAATGATCAAACAATAAAAATGTTGGTATGAAGTATCATTGTTTTTTAAACATTTATGTGAAAAGTGTGTGATTATATAGAGTTTATGGTATTTTTAATGAACTAGTTGCATACAATGATTTGACACATAAAAATTTCTTTATGTGTCAAATCATGAAAGATTTGAAGATTTGACACAATCATAATCTAAAGTATCATTGTATCTTAAACATTTCTTAAGAAGAGTGTGGTTAAATAGGGTTTATGGTAGTTTTAGTAAATTATTTAAAATTAATGATCCGACAATAAAGTCTTTAGTTTAAAGTATCATTGTTTGTGAAACATTTATGTGAAAAGTATGTGGTTATATAAAGTTTATGGTAGGTTTAATGAACTAGTTCAATGAAACATGAACCGACAATAAAAATTTTAGTCTTAAGTCATACGCTAGAATCGATGACTTCGACATGACGGGTCGAAGTGTCGGAGGTACAATGAAGCAAATGAGACTCTATGCAAAAATAAGATATCAATGAGATAAGCATAATCTCACAATGATAAATATTTAAGTGATCATGCTCTTCATATTAAAATCCAAATTATTTTTGAACCTTTATGTGAAAAATGTTTGATGATATAGAGTTTATGATAGTTTGAGTGAACTAATTAGAGATAATAATTGAACAATAAAAAATTTTAGTATGAAATATCATTGTTTATGAAACGGTTTTGTGAAGAGCGTGTGGTTTTATAAAGTTTATGATAATTTTAGTAAACTCGTTGAAGATAGTAATCTGACAATTAAAATTTTAGTCCAAAGTATTGTTGTTTCTGAAACATTT